GAGAGGCTGGGCAGGTGAGAGCCTGGGCAGGTGAGAGGCTGGGCAGGTGAGAGGCTGGGCAGGTGAGAGGCTGGGCAGGTGAGAGGCTGGGCAGGTGAAAGTCCCCGTATGACCTTAACAGGCAAGTAAGTTGCTGTTAGCGATTAGCGGCCAATGAAGGCTGGCACCATGGCACACGAGGGGGTGGGTGGCCAGCACCACGCCCGGCCGCCTTTCTCTCCCCAGTGGTGATGTTTACTACACACCGCACCAGGTTACACAGACACACGATGGACACAGATTTACACACCCCAGAGACACAGACTAAGATACACAGACTAAGACACATACTAAGACACAGACACACATACATGGATGGAAACAGATTGACATACACCCAGAGACACAGACGGATACAGACACAGATGGCCACAGATTGTCACACAGCAAGGCCGTAATTATAATATATATTGGGGGGGGGGACATACCCCCCCCCCAATATTCAAATATGCTCAAAATGCCCCCCCCCCAATATATTGCTATAAAATAGATTTCTGTTTATATTATGGTTTATGGTTGTACTTTATTAATCCCTAATCTCTGCCATTACATACAATGAAAAGAAAAGGTAAAAAAGAAAAAACGGGGCAATGTAATACAATACACTATTATACATTATTGTACAAAATAAATAAATAAATTCCATCCCATGTGTTAGTGATTTTTTATATTTTAGGCAGGAAATGGCAGGAAGTTCGTTTTCAAATTTAGATTGATTTTTTTCTGGGGGAGGGGACCCCAGACCCCTTGGAAGATTTGGTCCCCCCCAATGTTGACTCCATGGCTACGGCCTTGTCACACAGACGAATACAGACAGAGACACACAGATGGCCACAGATTGACACACAGACACATACAGATGGCCACAGATTGACACACTACACAGACGGACACACACAGATGGCCACAGTTTGACACACAGACAGATTGACACAGATCGATACAGACACACATAGATGGCCACTGAACGAAACACACAGATGGCCACAGATTGACACACACACAGACGGATACAGACACACACAGATTGGAACAGAGACGCAGACCGATACAGACAGACACACACAGATGGTCACAGATTGACACCAGACGGACACACAGATAGCCACAGATTGACACACACACAGACGGATACAGACACACACAGATTGGAACAGAGACGCAGACCGATACAGACAGACACACACAGATGGCCACAGATTGACACACAGACGGACACACACAGATGGCCACAGTTTGACAGACAGATTGACACAGATCGATACAGACAGACACACACAGATGGCCACTGAACGAAACACACAGATGGCCACAGAATGACAGACACAGACGGATACAGAC